TTTCTTTTTTTATTTGGTATGGGGAATCAAACTTAGGACCTTGCGCTTGCCAGGCAATCACTGTGCCACTGAGCTATATCTCTGGCAACTGTCTTTTTATAAACTAGGGTATAAGTACGAATTGAAATAAAATCTTTGAGGGGTGGGGCCAGGGAGATGGCTGAGTAGAATAAGTACTTGCCAAGGGCCTGAGTTCAATCCCTGGTTCCACCAAAAACAAAATCTTTGGGATGGTAGTTTTGGACTAAGCATCTGAACTAGACCCCAACAAAGTCAACCAAACCAAAATGGAGTCACTCATGCTAAATGCCACACAATCAAATAGAAACTTTAAGGAGGAAGACTGATTCTTAAAATTACCTGAAAACAGATTAATCTACCTGAGTCACCATAAGAAAATAATCTGGGGGCCGGGGAGATGGCTCAGTGGAATAAGTGCTTGTCTGGCAAGTGCAGGGGCCTGAGTTCAATCCCCGGTTCTGCCCCCCCCTCAAAAAAATCCACTTTAATCCTTACCAAAAAAGTAAATTGAGTTAACCAATCAGGTTTATTTCTATTGTTCTGTTGTTTTTCCCACCTTACGGAGCTTTCTCTTCTGCTACTGCCCGGTTTTTAGTAGAGGCAGCACCACATCAGGAATTGTGATTACAGCCAATTAGATCCTTAAATAAACTTACAGCTACCCCTCACAAGGGTACACTGAACTCAGAGCCTTCACACTGAGCTACATTCTCCAAATTTAAAATTTTGAGACAGAATCTTGCTAAATTCCCCAGATGGGGTTGGAATTTGAGATCCTCTTGCCTCAGTCTCCCAGAGTGCTGGGATTACAGAAGTGTACCCCTACACACAGCTTGTAATTTTGGCTTTTGGCAAACTCATCCAAACGTGGTGGTGGTGAAGAACTCAACTAGGATGTGGAAGTTTGCGTTTCATGACTGAAAGAAAACCAAAGCTGCGGGTAGTTTTATCTCCACAATGCCAGCAAGGGGCCTCTTGTCATGGCTTCAAGCCTGGCACCTACCCAGACTCCTGGTTGTGCCTTAGAGGAGGTAGAGATAAAAGATGTGTGAGTCTTTACCCACCCAGTGGAGGAGTTAGTTCTAGGCTTCTCTTCCAGGAAGGCCCCACTGCCCACCCCCACTGCATCCTGGGAGAGCCTCTGGGAGCTCCCTCCCTCTTGGTCCATATGGCAGCTCTGTGACGCAAACCTGAGAC